AATGTGGTTAATTGCAGTTCTTTCATGATTTAACAGGAGGGGGCAATTCATTTTTCACGTAGGGCCACGTAGGTTTGGACAGCTTTTTTCCCTTAATAAATGAAATCATCATTTAAAAACTGCATTTTGTATTTACTTGCATTATCTTTGTGTAATATTTAAATTTGTTTGATGATCTGAAACATTAAAGTGTGACAAACATGCAAAAAAATAAGAAATCAGGAGGGGGGCCAACACTTTTTCACACCACTGTACATAACTGAGTGTTTAGTGTACTAACTTTAGATGCAGATGTGTATTGAAGTACATAATGGTACCACACTTTTTCATAACTCTTTGGAAATGTTATAAGAAAAATTGTTTATCGCTTATTTTTGTTTTGACACGTTCAACCCAGTCTCATGAATAGGTGTAAGTATTGCACAATGTGCAATTTCATATGAATCTGTACAATCCGAATCATACAAAAACACATTATAGGTAAAATGTCTCCATAAAGGTATAATCCATGGAGGGGCATGAGAAGATCGTACAAAAACATACAAAAGAGTTTGTAAAAATTCAAACAAATTTGCAACTTATTCACCAAAACTTCAAATAAATGAGCCTTTGTTACCACTATACCAGTCAGCGACCTAAAACAGGACAAATTATGTGGTAGAACCGCACCTTACATTTTTATAAAGGTTTTTATTGGCATCTCTCCACTGCAGTGGAAAAAGTTCTTTAGATTATAAAAATGTTCTTCACACCAATTATATACTGTAACTGTACCATATTGATTCCCCAATGAACCTTTCAGTGAACAGTTCTTAAAAGAGCCTTCAAAAAGTCCACTAAAATGTCAATTTAGATTCAGCACACAAGCCAGTCTCATCTTTGACAACAAATCTTTGATTTGAACCATTAGCATGTTGCTGAAAGTGGCAGGACTAAACATTTTGTATGGCCTCATTATATGTTCTCAGTAGTGTTTGTCAGGAGGTGTGCACACATACAAAGAGCAGCTGGATTAGGGACAAGCGTTCTGACAAATGATTTATTTATTGAGGTGCAGAGGTGTGTTTATAAAGACAAAGGTTGTTTTGATAGATAGGCCTGAAATACTGATAGGTGTTGTTCAAGCTGTGTCTGAAAAGTTATTGCAACTTATCACAGCCAAAGTAAGTCAGCATTTTCCAGAGAAAAATGAGTTTATTCTCAAGTGGAAAATAACTGTATTTGTGGATGTAGTTTTGGGCTGCTAAAATAGCATTTGTTTGATTCCAAGAATTATTTAAACATCTTCCTTTTATGGGCAATCATATTTGCTCACTTGAGATAATGGGCATGGATTTTGGCCTGATATGACGGAAGACAGATCAATTATTATTTATATGATGGTTAAACTTAATAGCTTTAATTTAAAGGAATAGTTTACCCAAAACTTTAAATTTGCTGAAAATATA